TTTCTTTTTTCATGGTATGTAGACTTGCATTAGTCTACATACTGTGCACCCAGCAAGTCCATGAAGAATCATGTTTGTGCTGCTGTCAATTCATCTGCTCTTCCCATCTACCTCCCTTTCAGTCTCCCCAGACCATCCTTTGTAAAACTTACTTGCGAGGCCCTTCGGCTGAAAGATGCAACACGCTTGCTCCTCTGGATTGGGTGAGGAGGGGACAAGCGGTCCATGCTGAGTGGTGGGTTATATCAAGATGATATTTTATTGCTACAATGGGGTATTTCCTTGCCTGAGGCTTGTAGTTGCTACAGTAAGAAAAATTAATAACACAACCAATAAATAAAAGTAAAACTTGGCCATATTTAGTGTTGACAGCAAAATGGACCACAACAGAAACAATGCCCCAAGCCAGTGCGGTGATTTAAAGAGACAAGCAGTATACCCTGGAAAGCTCCCAGCCGCCAGCAAGTGTTTGAGATTCTCGTGTGCTACAGCATAGCTACGTTCAAGTCAGTGATACAAAATCCCCTTACACTTCAATGGAACTGGGGATAAGCCCCATGTCAGAGATGCAAAACAAGAAGCATCTGTTAATAGTCATCGTGCAGTGACTTACTGGCTACCAAACAAGTCCTTGGGAGATAAACCACAAAGTATAGTAAAATATAGCCTGATTGAATAAAATGGAGATTTCACCAAAAAAAAAAAAAAAGGGTTTTTGCTAGCAGACCAGGAAAGGCAAGTACTGTGATATATTTGACTCTGCTGCATATTATCAGTTAAATTTTAAAATACCCATCTGGAGAGAGATACAAAGTGCTTCATGAATTTATATATTTTTGCACATTTATGATACATTTTTCATCTCTTCATAATTTTTTTAGAATAACATTATTAAAAGATGGAGGCCTACGAATTGCTAATCTAACTAAATTAGATGCTGGAAGTTACACTTGCCTGGCAGGAAACCAATTTGGAACAGCCAGTGGAACAACAAGCTTAATAGTTACAGGTAAGTGAGGGTTTATATTGTATTTTCCTTTTCAAGATGATTTGAAGTGGTGCTGAATTGCACTAAATGCAACTACTAGAATCTGCCGGAAAAAATCATAAATCCTAGTCTGGACACCAAAGGGCAATACCTGTCTTTGGAGAACAGGTCTGAGGAGATGCACCCTGCCCTCTCAGGGTGCAAGCAGCGGCAGGAGCCACCCCATGCCTCCATCCCACACACCCCTCCCTCCCACCCTGGCTGGGCAACACCTGCCTCTGCCCCCTCGCTCACCATAGGGGCTGCTGATCTGCCCCCCATGCCCCTTCCCTCCCCCCTCCCCTTCCACCACACCACACTTACCACCTGATGCCAGTTGTATCGGATATCGGATCAGCATTGGCCAACATGCCTCCTTAAATATCAGCTATTGGTATCAGCCCCCGCAATCTTTATCAGTACCCCCCTATTTTTGAATAATACTCCTTGTTCTGCTTGGCACGTTATAATTTTGAGCAAAAAATCTCAAACCTTGCTTTTTCACCCCATTCTTACTTTTTAGGAAAACTAACTGGTTTCAGACTGATGGCCATTAATTACTAAGCTTTTCCCTTTTTCACACTTGCTTATCCAGTAGATCTTCTACTGATAATGCAGAAGGAAGGCAGACTGCCTGACAGAAATCTGAGATGTGAATCAGAGAGGAAGCCCTTTCCTTAATTATTAACAATATTAGTTTTTCTACAGAATTGTGTTATCTCCCTAATAAATGAATTCTTATGAATACCGTTTTTCAACCTGAATATTAAGTAATGTCATTATGATTAAACTTAGTTTAAACACCAAATAAGCATAAAATACATTAGGAATAATTAAGAAAAAAAACTCTTAGGACTTATTAATGTTCCAATCCAGACAATGATGTATTATTTGCATGAGCAAGTAGTTATGGAAGAAAAACCAAGCTCATAATTTCAAACCTTTAAAATTACATGGACTGGAAAATGTAAAATCAGTCATAACTTCTTTTAAGTGAGTTTTCATTCAGAACTGTCTGCTGTGGAGGTGCTTGTCCCCATGGGGGTTGCAAATAGAGAGGTTCTTCCTCGAATTCATCTGGTGCTGCCCACCGTCAGAGACAGCACACTGGAGCAGATGGAGCACTGGCCTGGCCTCTGTGGCAGGATTTCCCCCTGTAGAGAGTATTTTCCCATGCAGAAGCAATGCTCCTCTAAAAAGCAGGGCATCTGAAATATTTTCCAAGTCCTAGAGGCCATCCAGTACGCTGCCATGTTACATGTCACATATATTGTGAAATAAACTAAAATGTAGCAGGCCTGTGATATTTCATTCTAAGTGTGTGTGGTAGTATCAGGGCTTAGGCCCCTTTGAATGCTTCTCCCTTTTGTAAAATACTATTTATAAGGGGCAATGTTCTGTCTGGTTACATTAATGAGTCTCCACAGTGGCTGCATGTTCCCACAGAGTATGGCGTACCTGCTGCAACATCAGCAAGGTGCTCTAATCCTCCTCTTCAGAAAGCAATTATTGATGTCCTATATGCGATCCAGTTAGACAATACAACCTGCCCTACATGTCCTCCTCACTCTCCTCTGCTAATTGCATGCTCAAACCTCATTGACAGCTGCCACTCCAGCCTTTTCCTTCCAGACAAGTTTGAATCATTGATGAAAAACACATCACAGTTCTAAAATTGGTATATCTATACACTGAAAGGTATGCTGTGTATCCATTATAAAATATATATATTGCATCCCATACCATGGTTAAAAAGCACTTTAACCAGTACTGCAGGAACAGAGGTCAGTTAATGGTATTTACAATGTGAAATGTGTCTAATCCATGGTAATGTTTAATGATCAATGGTTTAATGGCACCTTTTAGAAGGTTAACATTTGAAGAAATCTTAGGAGCATAAAAAGATTGTTGCCAAGATACCCTAACTTGATATTATCTACTTTCTATAGAGCCAACAAGGATAACTTTGGCCCCTTCCAATATGGATGTTACTGTTGGAGAAAGTGTAATCCTGCCCTGCCAAGTTCAGCACGATCCCCTACTAGACATTAGCTTCACGTGGTATTTTAATGGAACGCTCACGGATTTCAAAAAAGATGCTTCTCATTTTGAGAAGGTTGGGGGGGTAAGTTACTTCCTTACACTTTTTTACCTAATAGCTGCATAGAGCTAAAAGCCTGATCCTACCTAAAACTGAAAATATTGAGGACCCTTTAGTTCTGAGCACTTCCTTAATTAATCAAAGGAAAAAAAATGTACTTCCTCGATTAGCAGAGGCCACATACAGACACTCCTTTTCTACTGGAAGAATTGCTGTTCTCCCAGTAGAAACCAAAAGTGTGGAGACATTTGACCCTTTTTTTTCTCTTCCTGGTGTGAAAATGGCTCTTCCAAGAGAAAAACAATGAGGTTGTCAGTCTCGCGAAAGTTTCTCGTGGGAGATCTAATATCTGTCCACTTTCCCCTGGCTTAACTCTTCTTGGGGACCAGGAGGACTGGAGCTGTGGGAGAGACACCCATGCCTTCCCAAGGCCAGGATTATCCTGATCTGGAGAAGATGCAATGGGGTAGCTGCTGCCCTCCTCCTGCAGACGGGGAGGGGAGGGTGGAATAGCCACCATCTTCTGTCCACCTGTGTCATGCTCCATAAATCCAATTTTGAGAAGCATGCAGGGGGGGTTTGCTGCTCTGCTGTTTGCTCCGCTCCTGGGCACCAGGAACCAGGCACAGAAATCAGTGCAAACCCCATACCTGCTTCTCACATCAGAGTCCCCGTGTGAGAAGCGGGCAGGAGGAACAGGAGTAGCCCATGCTTTCCCCAGACGTGGATCACCCAGGAAGGCAAAAAGAGCAGGGGACAGGAGACAATTTCAGACTGAACATCTGTACTGCTCCCTCTCGCAAAATTATTTCTAGTGGTGGGAAATTTTTACTGCTAGAATTTTGAACATTTATTTGTAGCCATAGTAGGATATTTTCCACATCAGGTAATTGAAGGTATAGCAATCAGAGCTGATTTCTAGGTGTTTTCCACGACACTTGTGTTTGATACTAGATGCCTGAAACGTGAAAATACAGAAGTGATACAAAATCCAGAAAGCTATTTACAGCTAAACCACATCTCTCTCTCTAACAGGATAATATTGATAAATTCAGATAAGTTGTTTTCTGTCAAGCAAAAAGAAAAAACTTTGTTCAGCTAGATACGTTGTGGTATACATAGCCTGATCTTTGCATTGTTTCCATTTTTTGACTGTGCATGAACTCCAATGTTCCTGTCACTGCCACAGGCATCTACAAACTGACTGAATCATCTGATGATTTTTCTAAATTATGCTGTTTTACTGATTCGTAGCTACAAAATGTTGAAGCCTGCATTAATAACTAAGAGATCTCCATTTTTCCTGACATCATGATGCTGTCTGCAGAGAGAGAGAGAAATCTGAGGCGGTTTTACCATGGTGAAATCTAGGCAGTCTTCTTCTGCAAGACTTAGGAGCTTATATGAATGTTTTGCCGAGTTTCATAGATTTATATCATCCCAAATTTCTCACACAGTTTTGACGCAGCTGTTGCAAATGAGGTTTTGGTCTGTAAAGAGTTAAATTCCAGTAACTGGGATGGCTAATTTCCCATGTGCTACAAATCGCTCCCTGCATCAGCTCTTAACAAAAACTGCTGAGTATCACCTGGTTTTGCCTCCAGACAATACACAGCTGCATTACATAGTTTCCAAGCAAAGCAGGCCTAGGACTATTGCTTAACTAATGCGAGTCTGAGATTTGAAACTGTAAAATCTTCAAACTTCCTAACCCAAAGGAAAAAAAGGAGGGGTCCAAATATTTAGCCATCATGGGCAAGAGTTATCTATTGAAGCCCCCAGATCTATAGGAAGCCTAAGTGGTCGGGGGTGTAGGTTGTCGCTGTGTTGGTCTAAGGACATAGGCAGGCAAGGTTCTTTGGGTAAATCTGATATCTTTTATTAGATATATTACATATGATAAAAGATATCAGATTTACCCAAAGAACCTTGTCTGCCTAGGTGGTTGGGGGTCATTACAGTTAAAAAGTGTAGCACCGAAGAGGTTTAGATGCTGCTAAGTTTAGTTAGCATGCGAGCAGAAGGTTTTAGGGCCACAGTTTTGGATTTACAGCACTGCCTAAGTCCCACCTCAGGTGGCTAAGCCTTTTGTTTGGATCCTAGCGCTAAGTGACATTCCCAAAGTCGCACACATTCACTCAGCCGGGAGCTGTATTTGCATCTCCTCATAGAGCTAACGTGCTGGAAAACATTTTTTTTCTAACGTGTTATTTAGCATAAAGGTTTTTAATGATGCTCCTCAGACTTATCTTTTTAATCAGTGCATGAAGGGGAATGTGTACATAGACTGGTAGCTGTTACCAGGAGAGGGAAATGAACTCTATCAGCAGCAGCCAAATCCCCCCAATTTCCCCTTCTAGGAGAATTTAGCAATGCATACCAATGCCAGGGGGTTGCTAGGCAAACAGTTGAGGCTCAGCATTTAGCAGCATCTTCTCTACATATAAAACAGAGGTGTGGTCTCTCTTTCCTACAGCTTTGCCAGTATACCCCATTTCTCACAGCTAGCAAAATCAATGGGCTGTTGATGCCCAATGCATATTGTAAGTTAGGTGCCTAAATCCCATTAATGACCCTTTTGTACCTTTAAAATCTTTGCAGAAGACACAGCATTTAATCAGTAGGCATAAAATTGACAGATTGGGCTACAGTTGGCAATTGATTAAATGCAAGTGCTTGCAAAAAAGATGAGGGGTTTTTCTTTTTCTTTTTTTTTGGTGGGGAAGAGCAGAGAGATCTTTGTATCTTGTAAATTTGTGAACACTCTGGAATTATGAGCTGACCATCTGTCTTGCTACGCTGTAAATCCTCTCTTTCCACAGCCCTTTTACCATTCCATATTGCTATATAGTCTTCATTTATTTACTGAGATTTATTCTAAGTGCCTATCCAAACACTGGCCAGCTGAAAAAATATTAAAATGATGACAAAGGTTAAAAATATTTAAATTAAATGAGTTTTCCAGAAGAGTTGTTTTCAGTGAAAAATACTAGATCGTTGGAAAAAGGATTCCCACCCCCATGAAAAATTCTACATTTGTCAAAAAAAAAATAAAAAATGTTTTTGGTTTTCAGCTTTCTTAGAAAACAATTTTCTGTGAATATTTTCACTGAGTAGGAAAATACTTTGAAAAAATTTCAGTTGAATTGTTTCTAGTAACTCAGTAACTCACAGGATTAACTCGGTGCAATTCTTTATAAGGTAACCCATGATCTGAAATCAATCGGAAACATCCTACTGCAATGTTTGCCATGAGAAAGAACTGGGAAAAGTTTACCAAAAATAAGAAATAAAAAAAAAAAGCATCTACAAAGGAGGCACTGGGATTCCACTGGCTGAGGACTACCTGGATTATCATATACCAAGCTAAAATATCTCACAAATGTTATCCAACTCCCATTTAATTTAGTGGAGTTCGATAGAGTCTATAGTGAGAAAATAAAGTTGCAATGCTTACTCTGAAATTTAGAAATATAGTTGAAATGCATATGCAAAAATGGCTAAAGAGACCAGTTCGGGTGGGAGCTACCATTGACTCCCAAAACAAAAGGAAATTAACCTTTCTATTGAAATGATTCCCCTTGGACATGAGGAATGATGTAGTGTTGTGGCGGCCACTTCCCAGAACTTTTCTGAGAGGAATGAGGCGCTAGCAACTCTCGCAATTCTTGGAAAGGTTTTGGGGGCATCTCCTGTGCAGCAGGCTGGCCTTCCGTATGGACCAAAATGCCAGGATAGAACCCGATTCTCCTTTCCTTTCCTTTCCTGTTAGACACATGATTTATAGGAAAAGTGCAGCAAACCAAGCAGTTCCCAAAACTGTGAACAGATTGCCTGTAAACAGTTTTTGGTACACCTGTTCAGACAACCCAGCAACAGCTGAAATTGGTATGCAGACAGCTAAATTAAAAGCAGCTACAGTGCTTTAATGCAGATGTTCATACTACATGGGCTAGTGGTTATTCGTGCTCTGTAGATCAGCATGGTGTGCAGCAGGAAAGGTGACCTTGCTGTCACCTCAACTTGTCCAGACTAGCAGAGATTTAATTTTGCTGGCCAGAGATGTGATTGTTGCTAGGTCTGAGTATCACTGACAGCTGGAGAGCGCCAGCTATGTTGCAACAGCCTTCCACCATTCTGTTGTTTCAAGCATTTCAAGCTAGGCAAGAATGATTTATGTGAAATATCAAGACTTCGATAGCAGCACATTCTAGATGTGATATATAATATAAATATTGGAACTTACCCTAAAGCACCATGTTGTTTACTGCCATTGAAGAGTCAGTAGTTTAGCCCATTCAGACCTGCCATCCAGAGATCAGTCAGACATTTATTTAAAGGGAAATTATTCTGCTTGACAATCCTCCAGGTAAATGTATGTTCAGAATCTTTAGTACAGGATTAGTTTCTGCAGATGAATTGCTGTTGACAATATGCTGCTGAATGTGCACTTCCCATCAGGTATTCTGTGTTGCCTCTGCACTTATCGCTCGCAGTTTATTGTAGGTATTGCAGTCAGTGCTGACACTACCTTACTCAACCCAAGATTTCAGCTAGGACCATCACTTAAGAATCCAAATAAAAGGTTTGATCCTGCTACTGCTGAAGTCAGTGGATGAAACTTCTATTTCCTCCGCTGGAGCAGGAGCAGGAGCAGGTGCTGACAGAAATGTTACGAAGAAATTGACAAGATTTATTTCATTATATTTTAGGCTAAATGGTCAGTCTCTCTGGAAACAAGTGATCCTTGAAACGGAGGGAATAAAGTGCAAGTGCATGTGGATGTGAAATGCATAAAATAAGCCGAGTTGCGTGGTGTTTGCCATTCACTCAAATGCTGGTCTAAAAGGAATCATAGAACAAAGGCGCCATAGCAAGTGGGCGTCTCAGGGCCAGTAGAGTTGCTGGCCCACCCACTTGTCTCAGGGCTAACTGCGTGCCTACCTCACCTGCCACACCATTGATAATATTAATTAGAAGATAATAGCAAGGCAAAAGGCTGCCCATTTATTTGTCCTGGTGCCAAGGACCTATACACAGCTCTGAACCTCCCCTTATACCATGCCCCGTGCCTCGCAGATGGCATCCATAGCCTAACACCCATCCCATAGCTTGTTTGGCCTAATGCCCAGCCTATAAGCCCATGCCTCACACTAGGACCTGCACTCCAGGGCTTCGCATTGGGATCTCACTCCCCTGCCCTCACACTGGAGCTCACAGTCTCTGTGCCCTTGCACTGGGCTCTCACTCAATCAGCCAGGGCTCCCAGCCCCTCCCTTTTCCTTGGGCTCCCTGTCCGTCTGGGAACCCTCATGGTGCCTTCACTCCCCCACACTGGGGCCTCAATCCCCTTAATCCCCTTGCCCCAGGAGCTTCACACATAACTCCCTCATAGACTTAGGGTCCCACCCCCCTGAAGCCTCATACCCAGCTCCTTCATACACCTCAGGCCTTGGAGTGAGCTTGGGCACTGGCTCAGGTCCCTTCCTGACCTGGGCCCTGCCTCAGGTCTCACTGTGATTCTGGACCCTGCCTTTGTCTTCAGGGTGTGCTCCCCTAGCCTTTCCCTGCCACAGGGTATGCCGCAAGGCAGCAGGGGCTGAGGCTTTCTAGTGCCCCATACTCGCCCTTCACTGGGAAGGCACAGATATAGCATTTCCTGGAGACTTCTCTGCCACCAACAGTCCCACCACACCATCCAGCCCCAGCAGGGTGTAGTTTTAGGTCATTCCCCAGGACCAGGAACCTCCACCTTCCCCATAGCTCCTTCCCTGTACCTCCAAGATGTTATGAGCAGAAGGTCCAGCCAGGTGATGCTCTCTCTCCAGCTGCTGGCAGCAAACTGCTGGCTATACTGCTCAGAGCCCTGTTCCCAATCAGGTAATGGTGCCTGATTGGGAGTGCAGCCACCTGCAAGCTGTTTGTCTGTTTGCTCATGGCCCTTTGAGTAAAAGAGCACAACTTGTGCTCTGTTACAGGCACCCATGCAGCTTTCTGAGCACCTTTGATGTACACTTGAAAGCACAATAAGAAATAAGAAAATAAGAACCATGCTAGGCAAGTTCTTCCCCATCCTCATGCACTGTCACATATCACTGAATCACCCACTCTGCAATTGGTACAGATGGAAACCTACACTAGATGAGCGTGCTGTCTTTAGTTGTCTCACTACATGAACTTCGTGTTATGCCTGAGTGGATGCAAGAAGAAAAAAATATCTCTGGTTTTCCAGGAGGTCCCTTTCCCTTAAAAGTGCCAGATCTTCATTCTGTAAAATGGCAACCTACTTAGAACAAGAATCTGTATGCAATGGAATAAGTAAGAGAATGGGAGAATGAGCAAAGGTCTGTCCCAGCTGTAGGGGACACACTAAGTTATGCAATCGGGTTCAAATTCCAAAACAGTAGTGCTGAAATAAATACTACCTATGCAAGCCTGAGATGTCCAGGAAATTACAGCTATTAGTCAAAATTCACATCCACACGCTCCAGGACATAGAAGGACACAATTTCAAGATACCACATACAGGGCAATATGAAGAAAGAAGAATGCTTTCCAAATTAAAAATCAAAGGCACCAAGGGAGTATTGCAATTGCAACAAATCAGCTGAAGAGCTACAAATGTGCACCCCCTAAGTAAAAGTGTACTCATATGACACAATACACAGAATAACTAAAACAAATGCTGCAGAAGGAAACCTTGCTGCAAGTATTAGCAGATTTAAGGTTATAAGCAGAGGTTCATTGTGTTGATTTTTTTGTTTTTTAATAGTGAATTTGACACACGAGGGTACTCATATCTTGTACTGTTGCATGCTTTTATACACCTACAAAATGAGCTGAATTCCTTCATCCAAATTTCACGTTACTGTCTTTTCTAAGCCAGGCTGTATGAGGAATCTGCTAGAGGCATGTTAATTAAAGCACGTGATCAGCCTTCATATTCAGCAAGCATACGTTGGACTCTTTTGGATAGCCTGGTTAATTTGCTTTTAAAACATGTCCTTTGTATTAGTATTATTATTAATTAATTTCTGTGATTATTAATGGTGGCAGTGGTGGTCTTATTAACAACAACAAACTAGGTCCCTTTAGGAAATAATAACTGTATTTTCAACAGAGTGCATCTGGAGACCTAATGATTAGAAACATCCAGCTGAAACACAGCGGAAAATATGTTTGCATGGTGAAGACGGAGGTGGACAGTGTATCATCTGCAGCCGACCTCATAGTACGAGGTAAACTTGGGCTTCTGTTGTGTGCTCTTCTAGTCTAACAACTGTTTCTATCTACCATTGTAAAATACAGAACTTGAAAGATTGTGACACCCACTAGATACACTAAAGTGAGTAAGGAAAGAATGCAATCCCTGCTCCCTATAGGTCTGTCCATATCCACCCGCCCACATGCTCTCTTGCTGGAGAAGAGTGGAATGGGAAGGGACTTGGTTCCCCCACCTTTTACACAGGGCAGCTCAGCTGAGCGGGTTAGGGGGAAAGGAAGGGGCTTTAGCAACTTGCGGTCAATGGCCACGTTTACACAAAATGCTTACTGCATTGGTAATGCAATGGTGCATGTAAAATGCCCACATGCACCATTGTGCATGCGGTCAATGGCCACGTTTACACAAAATGCTTACTGCATTGGTAATGCAATGGTGCATGTAAAATGCCCACATGCACCATTGTGCATGTGGGCATGTTACACTCCCGCTCAGTAGCGACGTGGGGCACGAACTGTGATGCGACGCTCTGGGTCGTAGTAGTAACAAGTTACTCTGCACTCAGCATCACCCGGAAGCCGTGCAGAGACGCTACTGCACAGTAACTCTGCTTACTGCACAGTCAATTAGTATTTGGGTGGGCATGTACTAAATGACTGCAGTAACAACTGCACAGTCCATGTCTCATGTAGACGCAGCCCCTATAACTCAGTTGTAAATGGCACCTCCACCCAAGGAGAGAATAGGGATTTGGGGTTTCCGGAGCCAAAATCTCATTCATGATGTAAAGCAGCTGTCTGCCACCACCTCTTATAGGCTTTTCTCCAAGATACACTGCCTAATACAGTTGCATAAGCTGATGGTATTTATTTTGCTTTGGAGTTTGGATATTAGCTGTGAGAAGATGAACTGCAGCTTTCATGTCTGATAAACTTTCATTAATGAATCTCCAGCCGGATTTATTGCAAGACAAACTGCTCTAATCCACTGAAGACAATTCTGAAAATCCACACTCATTGTGTGCATTTTAAAATGTACGTGGCGTTTTCCAGTCGTGGCTGAGCCATTGAACGATTCATTAGTTTTGCTGTTGTCTACGTGGCAAAAGAAGCATCTTTCACAGGGTCATGGAGAATCAGGATTTACTAGAGTGCTGCAGAAAAGCTTGCCTCGCTGAATCGCTGTCCAAGATGCTGATCAGTTGTCGTGCTGAAAAATTGCTACAGCACATCATACAGTAAAATGGCTTTAGATGACAAATTGGCAGACTACAGCGATGTATTAGTAGATTAAAACAGGACACAGGTCTAAAGTAAAGACACTGAATTTGGAATGAGAGAGAACTCATGCTGAACAAAGGCCCCTGAAAGGATCTATATCATCTGTTATAGTTTGGGGAATTACTATTTCAGAATTTGGTTTAACAGCTATAATTTACCAGGCAGAAGTTTAGTAAATATAAAAAAAAATAAATAGAGCTTTTGTTGCAAGCTAAATTGTTTTCTTCCCCCCACAGTGCTGAAGAAATAGAAATCAGCTGGTGCTGTGGTAGTGGTTTATACTCTGCTACCTTCACAACATACCACCTATTTCTCAATCTGATTTCTCATTGTATTAGGCTCGCCTGGCCCCCCTGAATGTGTGAAAGTGGATGAAATAACCGATACTACAGCTCAGATCTCCTGGCAAGAGGGCACAGATAATCACAGCCCAGTCACCACTTACACCATACAGGCAAGAACACCTTTTTCAGTCGGTTGGCAGAGAGTCACAACAGGTAAAGCGAAAAAACCTTTGCAATAGTGCCTTTTCTCCCTACATTTTCAAGTGTAGGG